AAAATTTTACTACATTATAATTTTCGTTCAAAATTCTTATAATTAAATATCAATTTTTACTTTAAATGACTTTGATAAAAAGTTTATTTTTATTTATCATTTTAATATTCAATTGATATATATTAAAAATCTTCATTAACAATACAAAAAATATTCTAAAGAATTTTCTACGCAGTACATTCAAGATAAAAATATATAAAATAGATAAAAATTCTTTCAATAACAATTTTCTAAAAATAATTAATTGATACATTAAAGAATTTTTACATTATGAATAATCTGTTGATATTATTTGTATTAAATAGTATTAATAATAAGCCTTTAGAATGCATGAAAAAATTATAGTTCGATCTTTACATAACCGTAAGAAAATTTCGAATCAACTAATACATATATATATATATATATAGTTAATATGCAATTAACAAGAAGTTAATGAACAAGCAGTTCATCAATAATATATCAAGATATATTGTAATCTACGTAATTGGGTAAAGCACATTGTAAACAATCGCCGATGTTCGCAATGAAATAAAAGTACGATTTAGTTGTAAGTAGTTGTAAGAGATTTTTAAATATGACCAAAAAAATATATGCATAATATTAAAATAAAAAATAAAAATAAAATAATGTAAAAACATTATTATAAAATATTTCTTTATAGCAATTAAATGTTCAATATATAATTTAGCTCTATACTTTAATAAATCTAACGATAATTCATTTAATTCATTGTTATTATAATTATAACATTATTCAAACTTTTAATAAAAATATTATATATAAACGGCATATTCTATTTGTTAATTTAAATATATTAATTATAAATTAATTATATAATGACACATTTCTATAACAGTCGATGTAACGTGTTATTAATATTAACTAGAATAATACATCAATAAAACATAAATATTGTCTTTTAAATTAGTCAATGTTATAAAATTAATTGGCATCATAAAATAGCAATAGGATAAAGATTATAATAAAATTGTTATAATTTCAAAAATTCTTCGTTTATTTATAGGTTCTATTTATATCAAATTCATGTATAAATGTAGCTTTCAAATACGGTTCCCATTAAAATCATATTAAGTTGATTAAAAGCTAAGATTAAAAAAGAAATATTTGTTAAAGATTTCTTTGGATCAAGTATATTTTCGAAATCAATATTTTAAAATAATGAAACAAATAAGCATGCATTGCTAAAATCTCTCTGTCTCTCTCTCTCTCTCTATCTCTGTCTGTCTGTCTGTCTGTCTCTCTCTCTCTCTCTCTCTCTCTCTCTCTCTCTCCTCTCTACTATCTATACGCGCATCTCAGCCTATATCTTGGGCTCTCCATCTAACCTCGCTTACCTTTCTGCATCAAATGGCAAGAAAATAGCGATGCGCTATCTTCGTAACCCTCTATACTCAGTATTCCTCTCCTATCTACTTTACGATACACATACACACCATTTACGGGCCTGCATATACGACCCATGCAGCGCATACATATTGCCGACTATACTTCTGCAAGTCGATGAGGGAGAAAAACATCAGTCTAAGAGAAGGGTGAAAATAAGAAGAGGACAAAAAGTCGTTGAGAGGACGTTCATCCCGATAAACGGGGCTGGCATCGCTTCGCGTCGCGTCACGACTACTAGGGGCAGTTAAATTATAGTTCCGCGGCCACATATATAAGCGTTCACACGGGACTGAGAGATCGATCGTCCTATGGCCATTGCCCGTTCCTCGTTCTCTGTATGCACGACGCTTCCTCGTCTCAGTAAATGTGTAGATAGTGACGCCGATGTCCCCGTACTCTTCACATTTATCACTCTTTATCTACTTTTGTATGAGCCCTCACGTAGTTTTTAATTTTTCTTCAACTCCACGCTCCCTGTATAGACTGCAGCAAACTTTTGTGATTGACGTACAATTGAAGAAATATAGAATTGTGATACTGACGTGTAATTTGTATTTGGATTTCACCTTCTACTTATTACATTAAAGAATATGTGACAACAAAATCAAATTTAAGATTAATTTTTTAATTATACATACATTTTGATGTAAACGTTACTTATAAATTTTGAATAATAATGTTAAACGGTCAAATTAGTTGAGAATCATAAAAAGAAAATCTGGCCTACAAAGTTTTTTTTAACAAAGTAAAATTTAATAAAAACGAAACATTCTTTCATTTTAATAATATGTTCGATTAACTTGTTATGGTTAAGATTTTATGACAAATTTCGTTTTCACATATATCCATGCATATTTATGCATATTAGTTTCAATTGTAAGTATAATTATGATATTATTTATTTGAAATTAAAATATTCCATAAAGCTACGAATATAATGACATTGAAATGATATGTATAAAAGAAATTTGTTTTATAGATCCAATTATAGATCCAATTATTACAAAAATCTAATGCCAAAGGGAATTTAAATAATTATTCCTTAAAATATTGTTCGTCTATTATTTATGAAAAAAATTACAATAAGATTCGTGTATATTTCATTAATTAATAACAAAAAGACTGCTCAATATATGAAAACATATATATATTAATGGAAATTAATAAAGTGGTGAAAAATATGTAAATATTAATAAATAAAATACAAAAGAATTAGGTTTAGAAATTTGGCGATATAAAAATATTATTTCTCAGATTATTAATACTTCATGTATTATTATTTTTTCCTTTAACATTATTTAAAATTAAAGAAATTTTTATAAAGTTCAACAACTATCACTGTACAGTATTGATTTTATCTCATACCATCAATTCTATTTAATTTTCAGATAGTGATTTACCATTTTTACGCTTATAAGTAGCTTAAATATAAATAGTAATTTATAATTAAAGTAACAGATATAATATAATTTTATATTTAAATTAATCCAAAATATAATTTTAGTTTAAAAAAACTTTAATCTTTTAATTTGTTTAATACCATCATTATTTTCATTCAAGAAGATTGAAATTAATTTTTTCGATTATTAATAACAATATATAATCAATAATTGTATGTTAAAATTTTATAATCGATATTTTATTTAACAGTTTTCTTAAACAATAAATTATTTATTAATGTCTTATTTTGTAATATATTAATTTAATTAATGGTACTAAAACAGCTATTAAATCTGAAAAGTGTCAAAAATCATTTTTATCCTAATCAATGATAGTCAATAATATAATTTTAATTTTGAGAAAATTTATAAAATAATTATGAAAAAAAGAATAAATATGTTAAAATAACATATAAACGAATAACTAATTTTTATTATGAACTATTTCATTAAATAGTTTAAATAAATATATTAATTTTTAAAATAATAAGCATAGCCATGTACAATTCGGAATCTTATACAACAAAATATAAAATTATAAAATAATTATTTTAATGAAAATATATAAAAATATTTTATGGTAAAAAATTAATTTAATCGAATTGTATAAAAGAATAAAGGTTAGTGATAACTCAATTATAAAAATTTTGGATGGAAGTATCCTCGTAATAAAATTTTAGTTTAATCATTTTTAAAATAATCGCCAAACTCTTATTTTTTTTTTAAATTATTTAAAATATGTTGTTTGTTATTCTTTATAATTCTTGCAATCAATTTTTTATTTAATTGAAAAATTATTTTTTTGTCTTTCTTCTATTAATAATTTCGTTTTATCTATTGAAAGCTTCGAATGTTCAAAAGAAAATTTAATTTCATCCAAGTATAGTTAATTTTTCATAAAAAGAATTGAATTATTAAATTATCGTAAAGAATTAATTTTTTTTTTAATAATTGGAAAAATAATTAAAGTTATATTAACTAATGATTACATTTAACTTTATAATAGAATTTATTATTAAATTAAGTGTAAACTATTTTTGTTACTATCTAATTATTTATTCAATATACATACATATTATTTTCTTGTATTTAATACTTTAATAATTATATTCTATTAAAAATGAAACTCTTGATGACTATTCATAAATTATAATACATTGCTTTTTGTATTAATAGTTTTTTTTTTAACATTTCGATTTATATATAAAAATTAATGTAATACTATAAATAGTATTTACTATAAATAGTAAATTATGAAATAATGTGATTATATTTATATTTTATTCCTTTTATTAAAAACATTGTAGCTATATCATCAACTGCAATGATAAAGTAAAAAATAGATATTATTGGTATAGTAATAAAAAAAAGTATACTGAAACTCACACATATATCAATATATTTAGATGAGATATTAAATTTAGATTTGAATATCAATTCGGTGAGCGTGCAACGTTGACTACTTACAACTAGTAAAAATTGCTTATCACTATACTGAAATAAATGTTTATAAAATAATTGTCATAAATTTCTTGAGGAATAACTCTTGTAGGGCATACAAATTACATTGTACTTGAAAGCATACTTGTATAATAGATTAATTGACATTCTCATATTTTATTAAAAATTAAAGGTTTTTTTGATAATATACCTGAAAAGATAAACTTTATTAAATATAGATAATTATTATCAATGAAAAATTCCGAGATTGAATATAAAATAAATTTAATGCGTGACAATATAAGTTATAGTCTCTTATTAACGCCAAATGAAAAATCGAATTCGATAAATGTCATAGTTTGATTATTTAGCAACAGCTGATATGGAAAAAAATAAATCCATTTTAAAATAATTGACAAACCAAAAAATTCTAATATGTAGAATATTCTCTAATATATATATATATATATATATTTTTTTTTTTTTTTTTTTAATAAATTATAATATATAAATTAAGATTATTGTTCATAAATAAAATATTTTTAAATTAAATAAATAATCAAATAACCATAATTGATAATAATTTGTTTCTACAGAAATATATTTATAAAAATATAATTACAAAATACTACATACAATGGTCATTAAAATTAGTAAAAAAAAAAAAAAAACAAAAAAAAACAAAAAAAAACAATATTGAAATCAATGCAATAATCATCTTACAATCCATAAAATACAAGCTATTTCTTACAGCGATCATACTATTTTGGTTTGAAATAATCCACAAGCTTTGGAATTTCACTTAACGTAAATGGTGGTTGAAGTAACCAAACACTTCCAGTTGTCGCATATGCCATTAAGTGCACTAAACCTTTACCGAGTCGTTTTTTGTCTAAGCTTCTACAAAATATAAAATCTATATTATCCATTGATTTATTTTGTTAATAGATTTTTGTTAATTATATAACGTTGAATTACGGATTCGGAGAGCAAGACGAATTAGGACAGCGAGATTCCTTGGAAATAGTATAATCAGGAAAATTTGGTAATCCGATTGTCTCGAAGGCTCGATTAATTGGACAAAGAGATACTACACGAATTCCTGTTTTTTTCACCGGATATTCCGGCTGCATATTAAAAAAAAAGAAAAAAAAATTAAAATATAATTCGTAAATTAATTATCAAATTCAGTCCACAAAAAAAAATGAATTGCCATACACAACTAAATATGAACAAAATCATTTGATTAAAATTAAAAAGATATATATAAATTTATTAAAATGTATTAGGATGTACATTAAAAATATACAAAATTATATAAAAAATACGAGTTATTGATACTTTGAAAATCAGTAAATAAATCTGATAGTTATATTTAAAATATTTATAATAAGATAATACTAATAATAATTGGAGAATACTAGATAAATAAGTCTTTGATTAATCAGCTAAGTATTTTTTTGAGAGCATTAGAAAAGAGATATTACTAATTTATAAATAAAGTTTATCTCAGATTAAAATTCCTTTTATCTCGAATGATTCGGATTCTTGACTCAACAGAAATATAAATTTTCATTCTTATATTCGGTTAAAAATTAAAAATAAATTATTTGACGTTTCTTTTTCGATTTTATGGATTTCATATTTTCATCATAATCCAATATAAACTATTTTAACCTTCGAGCCATTTTTGATAGAAACTTAATCGGTCATTGAGAGAAATACTTAAAATTTAATTATAAAATCATTTGCAAAATATTCTTGTAAGTAACAATTTTTCACAAAGCATACAGTTTTATATTTTTATTTCATTAATATTCAAACATTGAAAGTATAAAATAATTAAATATTTTTTTAATAACACATAATTCAAAGTTAAACAATTTACATCCTTCAAATTTCAACTTATCATCAAATCCCTAGTTTACAAGTACTTATAATCAGACCATTATTTTTCATACTGAAGTCATAATATTTCGCGAACTGTATTAATAAAAATAAAAAAAAAAGCAACAACTATAAATTACACAAAAAAAATAGACATTACAACGTATAATGTAGTAGTTTTAAATCAGTGATTCAAATATATCATGAGCATAAAACATAATCTGAAAACAAAGATAAAGTGCATCCCCATAAATTTCTCCCGCAATAAGATCTATCTGACTGATATATTCTATCAATCTGCAGATGAAAATCGAACTTCATTTTATAAGGTATGTAGAGGAAATTATAGTAAAAAGGTGTGACAAAGTTGAAAAAAAAATCCGTTTCAGGGTCAAAGTTATAAAAATTCAACAATTGACTCACCACAATGTCCAGAGTTGTTTCAATGACAGGCTCGCGGCAACAGTAAATTGGTTTGGGTTTTTCTGGCCACCCAACGAAACCCATGATTGACGCACAATTGACAATTATGCCATTTGTACCTTGACCTCCTTTCTTATTGCACATATATTTGAATCCTTTATGCAGGAGGCGCAATGTGTTATTCTATAAAAATTTTATGATTTGAAGCTTATTATTGACGATTAAAACAGATGATAGGTAGACAGTAGAGATTTTAATTTCATCGATACTTTTAGTATTTTGATTTTTTAACCTTATTGAATAGGAAAAGTGAGATCTATTTTATTATCGAATAACCGTATTAGTAATTTATAATTCATCAATATTTTAAAATGCTTAAGTTCGACAAATACTTGAAAGCCATTTTTCGCACTGATAACTATTATAATGGAAGAGATATTTATACAAAAATATTTATCACGATAAAAATAATATAAAGATATTTAAGTGTTAAATCAAGCTAATTATGCCCAATCGTTTATTTAATACATGTATACACCACAAATATGATGCATACACACACACACACACACACACACACACACACATTATGTAATGTATAATGTAATATATTAAAATTATTAGCATTGTAAAAAATATATAATTATTTCAACTATTCAATTTAAATATTATAAACATTAAAATATAAGTTTATATTTAAATTTTATGAAAGATAATCAAATAAAACTTCATACATTATATGATTTTACTTACAATTTTACTACCGTCCATGCAGTGACTCAGTTGAGGATCAGGAAGACTTTGAATAGCATCCAAATCGTTAAACATAATGCTTATGTTTTCATCAGTGCAGTAAGAAGATGAGAATATTGCTTTTGGAAATAATTATTTTTCAATAAATATATATTAAGTGCATGATAATACGATTAAGGAATACCTTCGATATGACAGGAATTTTTTAAATTACAACAGAAAAATTTAGCACGATGTTTTCCATAAGTATTACAAAGTTTTTCCACTGCACGTGCTCCCATTTCTGCATTATTATCTGCTATAATGACTTTCTAAAATATTTTCGATACTATGTATATTTTTAAAGACCAGCTTTTAATTTTGCATATAAAAATTTCAAATTGGAAAAAATACATTTTCTTGAAAAAAAAAACTTGGTTAAAAAATATTATAAAAAAAAAGAACAGTTTAATTCAGTATAAATATTAAAGACGTATATATTTATTGACTATAATATTAATTAATTGTTTACATCAGATTCCTATTGAATTTATTTAAAAAAACTATATTAAAAATACGTAATGCTTTTATTAAACATAATTAAATAAAATTAAAAAATAAATATATATATATATATATGTGTATGTATATGTACAATATTAGAAATAATCAAGACATTTATTTATATACGCCTTTAAATTATTACATCTTCACAAACAAAAAATTAATATCTCCAGATAAGATGTAATAAAATGCTGTACTTTCAATTTAAAAATATATTCATTGAATTCAAATAAATTTTGTATACAACAATATCTAAAATAAATCAACTAAAAAACAAATAAAATGATCGAATCGTACTTTAGCGCCATGATAAAGCAGCTGATCAGCAGCAGAAAATCCAAAACCGTTGTTTGAGCCACCAATGATAAGCGCAACCTTGCAAGTACATTTCAAAATTGGAGGCTTTGCCCCATAGTTTTTCGTATGTACAATAACAATATTAGGCTTCGTTTTCTTCCATAATGTATTAAAAATACTGTTCAGAAATGAAAAAGTTTCATAAACTAAAATATAAATTATATAGTATCTTAGTTTTTTGTTTATACAGAACAATTAATAAAGTATAAAGTATCTAGAACAAAAATATTTATAAGTAAATGAATTAATTTGATTTTCATTTATCGTTAAAAAACGCTTTATAAAAGTAATCAATAAAATTAAAAAACAAAAAATTTTGAAAAGGTAAAATAGAATGAACATATAGAAAATGTCTATAGAAATATTGCCCTTTACATTTCAAAATTTTAATTTTGCTCTTGAAGTAATCGACATTTTATATAAATTAAAAATACTAATATTAGTAAATAATTAAATTTATAACAAATTGTTTTTGGAAAGTCCATAATATATGTGATATAAATTACATAGACCTTATGAGGTCAAATAAATTTTTATTAATAGTTCTATAAATACTTCTTAATATATAGTACTATTTCATATTAGATATATAAATTTACATTATTATGTTAACATACATTGTAATTACATTTATAATTTATATTTTTTTTATTTATACTTTATACATTGTATTATTAAATTTTCCCTTCATTAAACATAGTAGAATACAATAATAAAAAAATATTTTATCTCTTAACTACGAATACCCATTAAAATTTTATCAAAATCTTTCATCTATAAAGAATAATAAACATAAATAAGAGGTTATCATAAAATTGTAAAAATATCGTATTTTAATATCACGCTGTACATAAATATTTAGAAATGCTTACATAACCATGTTTTTGAATATTACATTATAAAATCTAATATTAAATATATTTACAATGCTTGTTTTAATACTTTTAGAAATGTATATATCAATAAAATTCAAATTTGTAAAAGTATACTAAAAATTTATAAAAATTTACTAAAGAATGTCGAATTTTATAAAAAATAATACCTGAATTTTTTGCTACTAGATGGAAAGATTTTGTTTACGGTTTCTAGTAATTGAAAAACAGATTGTTGGTAAAATATTTGTATTTTCATTTCTAAAAAAATCTTTGTGAATATATAATATTAAAAAATTTTACTTCATACACCTATCTTTTATTAACACTTAAAATTTATTTGCAATATTGGTTATGATTTGTATTTGATGTAACAAAAGAAAAGCTTTTAAAAATTTAAGGAAATATTGCTGAAAATTTTCAAGATATCTTATTAAATTTTGGACCTTTCCCAATATAATACAATCCGTTCAAACATATCTCTAAAAGTATAATAACTTAAGAAGTAAATATCCAAAATACCTTTAAAAATTGAATTTTATTTATTAAAAAAGTATGATAAAATTTATGATATTCAATTAAGAGAGGATATAATGGTTTTGATCGTAAGAAAAAAACATAAATTAATTAATTAAATTTTTCGTTCATTTTCAATATTTTATACGAATAAAAAATTCAGTTTCATAATATATAATTTTTACTTAAAAACTTTTGACATTAACGTCAAAATAAAGACAAAATTAATTTCGAAAGATATTAAACATTCATTTTCATTACATTATTATTTACTCCTGCTCCGTATAAATTATAAAATCATGAATGAGACATAGCGTATATCTCATTTTGCACTATAATTATAGAAAAACAAATAAAATAGACAATAATATTTAATTGAATTAAATTAAACATATTTGCAGTACAGATGACAATAACTGAATATAGAAACAAAGGGCACGTGATAGATTTCTATGCAAATAAAAACATATCGATTCCAATACCTTATTTCTAATAAAAAAGCTTATTCGATTATATAAATATAAATATAAATGGTAAAATCTATTATGCTCAATTATAATTGTATAATGTTAAACATAAAAATGACTTAAAAATAATCATAAAGGAAAGATGGTAAAAATAATCTAAATACAAGGAATGAAAGATTTTATAATGAGAAAGCTAATGCATTTTTATTTACGGCTTATGTAGAATTTATGATTGGAACATAGAAAAGCATAATTACATTATATAAATATAAAAACAAAATCAACAATTCGTACACGAAAATTAACAATTTCGGCTAAACGTATATTTGTACAGAATTATTTGTCGAAAATAATTTGTCGAGTATGAAATATAAAATTCTCAGTGCTCTATATTCATCAAAAACTAACAATTACTAATTATATCATTAAACATCTTAATCATAAAATTGTTTTCTTTTGTTCCTGCAAAAGCAGCATTTTAACTCTTTATGAAGAATAAAATTCATACGAAAAAATACATTTACGTAAATAATTTTTTCCTTACTATATCATCTATACGTACTTGCAACATTCATGAAGCATTTAACACGTGTACCATTCATACATATATGGACATATTTAATATTACATACATTCAATTACAGATAACTTTCTTATTATTCTCGTGTACCTATACGGCAAATATTAATGTTAATTTTTATATCTTTCTTTGCTATATTTTAAAAAATTACGTGTATAAAAATGACATATGACACACAATGTAATAATTTACAAGTTTCAAAAGTAAATATTATTAAAGCTATCTTGCATAGATATACGTCACAAAATACACAATATAAATACCTAACTCAGCACTATTTTATTCTCTTATTTCATATCGTACTATTTGTTGTTTTTTTATGTATTATTATAATCTCTACGCAATTTTATTGATTTGTTCCATAAAAATAATAATAAAAATAATCTTAATAAATATTTTGATTTGATTTAATGAGAAAAGTATTGTTTCCAGAATTATGATTTCTAATATAATATTGTCTTTATAAATGTTTTATTTAGTAATATAATTTTAATGTGTTTTAACACTGAATAAAAATTAATTATTTTTAAATAATTCAGAAAATGTAAGCGATTAAATTAATCTAAATGAAATGTATTATATTAATTTTAAATAGTTATAATCTAGGAAATATCCATGATGGCTCGTTTATTTGGACGATTCTAGTAATAATTTGCTTAAAATATTAATTTGTGTATATTTCAGTGTTTTGCAAAAGTTATTTCACATGCTGGCTGTCCATTTTCCACGAGCCAGACACTACCACTCTTGCCATTTGTAAGCAAGTGAATTAATGATTTTGCCACGTGCTCAGGTCTAAAAAGAAAGATTCAATATTTATTTAGTTGGATTTACCAATAATTAAATATATCAGTATCGCAAATATATTCAATAGAATCAGATGTTACTTAATAAAAGAAATATTAAATATTTCTATTTCTGCTTTATTTAAAGAAATATTAATAAAAAGAAAAATATATATTGACAATGTGAAATTACGTATAAGTCATAAAAAATTGATAACTTGTTTCATTTACAAAAGTTGTCAATTATTAACACTTTGAATTCTTCAATGTTAGAGAAGAAAATTATGAATGAATTCGATAGAGTTCGTATTAAATTATAATTCAATTTATGAAAAAATTCGTGTCTTTGAAATTTATTAATTACTTACGTCTGGGAACTAGAAGTTGCAGTATCACGACGCCAAGCATCTTCATATTGAGGTGTCAAAAGTTGTTTACCAACGTTAGACACCAAATTGCTCTTAGTGGCCCCTGGGCAAATTGCCATTACTTTCACCCCTGTAAGACAAACGTGATACCGATCCTGAAAATTGCAATTATAAGTTTCAATTTACATACTATTAATAAGATGTTGTAACTAAATACAGTTAGCCAATAACAATTTACAATTATAATATAATATATAATAACGACAAATATAACAACGATATAATACAAGTAATTAAAACGTGTTCTTTTACTTTACTTCCCATAAATGCAAAGATTTATTTGTCCCTTAAATACTGAAGATTATTTTTACCTTCAAATTTTTATGTCTTGCACTACTATTATATTAAAAACTGTTGTAAAAATATCCCTTTAAAGTATTAAAATAATAAATATAATCGATTTCTATGTAAGTCAAAATTATATTCATTCTTAATTAAACAAAAATCAGAGAAACTGTAAGAAATGTAATAAAACTTACTCCGAAAGCTCTTGTGAGACTAACTATCGCAGCCTTCGTTGCAGAATAAATTGGAGCGCTTATGTATGGATTAATACTGACGTTACTTCCAGTATTTATGACTACACCGCCTCTTCCACCATTGTCAATTCCCAAAAAGCGCAGGGCCAATAGAATCCCACGAATTACACCATTCTATGAAAAATTCAATAAATTAATATTTTTCTCTGAATCAAACTTGTATTTAATTTAAAATAAACTCACGAATAAATTTCAAATTATTTTGTCCGATATTTCATATATTGCACATTATAGCAATTTAAAAATAAAATATAGTAAATTACTTAACTATTCAATCATAATATTTACTAAGAACTTTATCGTTATAAATGAAAATAATAAAATGTATAATATAATTTAAATATCTATATTGTAATAAATCTCTATTTTATTTAAATGGTGTATTCATTAGTCTTCATAAAAACGTTACAAAAAATTATTTATAAAAACTGTAATGAATAATTGTTTTCGTTTAAAGAGAGTTTAAAGAGAAAATTACTTAATTACGGAAGCAAATTATATCATGTTACCGCTGTTTTAAAGAAAAAAATTTATATCTAATAATGAATATTATTAACAAATGATAATTTAACAACGATAAATGCATATTATTTCCACAAAACGTCAATATCACATAACTTGCTGATAAAATAGCTTTCATACATTTTGCTCGTAATACCGCTACAGTAATTTTCTGCTTTAAATATTTCAGTAAAATTATAAATTTTTCGAAAAGCATTATTAACAAATAAAAATTTATCAACATTTTAGTTAAAACACTTTTATTTAACTTATCTAATATCTCAATCATATTCGTATTTTTTATTTTATCGCAATTTTTTTTTTTTTTTTTTTTTTTTAATATTTAATGTTAAACAATCTTAAATCACACATTTCGATTATTCGTAATGAAATTATACAATTACTTATAAATTAAAAATAGATTTACAATATTAATAAACATTAGTTTAAGCTATAGTTATAGAATTTTATCATATAACAAATTCAAACAATTACTAAAAATAAAATACGAATCTTATTTGATCAATCAACTCATCTTAGAAGTATAATTGAAAATAAAATATATTCAATAAAACAACACTATTAATAACATTATCTATGACTATTTATATTTTTACAAAAATTAATAAGAACTACTTATAATTTTTTTATTATAATAATTTGTCATTGAATAAATAGTAGTATTTATATATAATAATTATATATAATAATTAATATAATATTTATATATAATAATTAGTGCGTACAAGACAAACATTTACATTAAATCTTAATAAAAGCATCTTTATAATATTAATCAAAATTTTATTGATAATTAAACTTTATTTAATTAAATAGATTATGTAAAAAGGAAGAATATATTTTGCTCAATCTTTTAAATAATTATTCAATGTAAATGTTTGTCTTGTAAGCACTAATCATCCGAACAATTACATTTCAATTAAACAATTCAATAAGTTTATTATTTATTGAACTATTCATTTAACTAAAATTGTCTCACTTACAAGGTTTATATCAACTTGGAGCTCCCAAAATCTGTCATACATAATACCTGCATTATTGATAACAATATCAATATAACCAAATGTGGCGATTGTAGTTTTGAAGGATTCTAAAATAATTAATAATTTTCCTTTTATGAATATATAAATAAATTAAATAGTCATGAATTTTTTAGAAATGTTAACACCTTCAAATTGAGGATAATCAGTGACATCGCATTTGCAAAATATAACTTTATCCTTGCCGTGCCTAGAAGCCAAACTATGGTATAACTTCTCTCCCTCTTCTACATTTATATCACATATTGAAACCTAGATCAAAATTAAATGAATATTTTATAATATTCTGATTGAACTTATTATTTAAATATTATAAGTAATGAAGAATAAAATTAACTATTTCATGTAATTATATTTTGCTATATATTATAAAAATATGACACAAATTAATGTAAATATTTCAACATTCATCACGAATTTCTTGTTAAATTCTTGATGAATTTCTTGATGAATTGAAAATAATTGAACATTAATCAAGAAGAAGAAAATTTTTATTTAGCAACATCATATGATGTATTATTGTGAATGCATAAAAATGTAGATAACTGTAATGAAAATTATAAATTATATATACACCCTTAAAAGTAATTAAAACTCATTGTATATTATATTATAATCGCAAAAAATTAAATATAATTAAAAAAATTACTCTACGTATTTTATACGTTAAAAAAAGATATGTTTATATTTTCACTCTACATATACAAAAACAATTTCGCTTGTAAAATGTTACACAAAGATAAAAAGCTATGAAAAGTAATATTTTAATATGTTAAACAGTTATTTACAATAAATAGCGGATTTATTCAATATCACAATTGAAATATTTTATTTAATCATGTGATATAAAATATATAACTTTATTCAAAGTAAGAAACTAATAGACTCTAAATTCTGAAATGACAAACTTAATACATAATACTGACGAATTAAAATTAAATCACAATATTTGCTATTACTTATTGATAAAGTAGGAAAATAACGATGGCATATTTTTTTTATAGCAGACATTTATAGTTTTTATGTTTATAGAAAATATGTTAAAATTCAGATTATTATTACATTATTTAATTATTAAATTTAGAAAGAAAAACAAAATTTTGATTTTATACATGCATTACATTTAAGTATAAATACTAAATTTATTGTACATATTCGGTATGATTATATTCGATATAAATATACATATTCCGTATAAATAATATATTCGTTATATAGATACAATCTAAATAATATATTTATTATATAGATATGTTATATTTTTTTATAGATACGAGAAATCTTAAAGATTTAATATTCTTACGAAGATTTAAAGAAGTATGGAATAATAAAGCGAAGAATACAAATCTATATAATTATGAGATTTAAGCTTTTGCTTATCATTGCATAAATAATAGTATGAATAAACAAAGTGAGACAAAAAAAAAATTCAAAATAAATTGAAATAAAATTAATAAGAAAATATATGGTATAGTTAAATGTCGCGGATTGATAAAAAAATTTAATTCTTTCATTAATCATGATAATAAAAAAATGTACATGATAATGAAAAAAAAAATGTATAAAATTTTAAAAATCATTTTACTTATTTAATATTAAAATTATTACTTAAACACCTATACTAGGTATTGGTAGTTAAATACAAATTAATCGAAGTCCTAAATAACTATAATTATTAAAATGATAAATTTTTATCAGCTTTTAATATTATATCAGTTTCAACTACTTGATCCAAATAAATCTGAAATATTTTATTTCCAATTTTTAATTTGCAATTTAATTTAAAATAAGCTTTAATTCATGTAAGGAATGAATAGCTAACTTTCTATTATATTAGAAATCAAAGGAAATTTAATATAGTTGTTATGATAATGATCATTGTTAAATTGTTTTTAGAAATTGAAATTTAATAAATAATAATTTTATCAATTTAATAAACAGTTATAATTAAAAATTTTATAAATATCGATTAACCCGTTAATTCTTAATTCAATTAATAATAACAAAACAAATAACATTCACAATATATAATACGATTATCACTTTACGATTATCATTTAAGGCTACAAATTTTATTTCTTCTATTTATAAGTATATTGATAAAAACAAAAAACCAAAAAACAAAACAAAAAATTACCTTGGCTCCTTGATTCATCAATTCTTCGGCATAACTTCTACCTATGCCACTGGCTGCTCCCGTAATCAGAGCGATTCGACCTTTAATCTCCATGTTTTGATTGTTTGTCAAGATTCAACTTTTTACAAAATTCTCAATTTTTATCCTACAGGCAAAGAGAAATATTTCAACTAAAATAATGGACAGAATATATTATTGATGTTTCAATAAACGGCGGTGCATGAGACAATATATGTACAACAATTATTAATGTTTTGTTTTGATTTTGGGCAATTTTAATACGAGTAATAAAATTATTGTATTTTATCTATATCGATATTTACATACGAGATAATAGCATAATGATTAATAAAGCACACAGTATAAAGTTCGCAGCTTAGTTTTCTTAGTTTTGAAAATTATTTTTAAGATTTGTAAGTAATAATGATATGAAAAATTGGCTCTATCAATGATGTGCATGTTCATTAGGGCAAACTATATTTAAAATCACAGCATAACTAATAAAATATCTATAAGTGAAATTGAAATCAATAGAGTTGCGTCGTATTTCTGTTTTTATAAGTTATATCGTCTTAACATAAGAATGAAAATTATTAGAGGGCCAATTAATAGTGATGGGTATTAATAAGCACGGGCGGAGTGAATAAACAATTCCTCGATAATTGGGCAGAAACTTAATAATTGCGTATAGGAAGTCCGGGGCCACTCTATTATCTCGCGCACGCACACAAATGCAGCCAAAGAATCGGCTGTTTCCTCTTCTTGAGAGCAGAGGCAAAAGCTTCGCCGAACGAATGCAGAAGCAATGCACTGGGAAACAGCCAATACCCGGGCATCTAGACGCCGGCTCCTGAAATGACTCACACTCGACGCACGATAGCTCGTTATTAGAGTGTACGCGCGCACGTCACTTGCAACAGGCTCCGATATGCCTACGAGACCGGCAAACTTTCCCTCCGAGCAGCCGAGGGTTGCAGTAAAACGAAGTAAAGCCGGATAGGCCGTCTACCTCTCTGCGTGCATGTGTGCGCGCGCTCCTACCTAAACGAGGGGCGTGAATGGTGGGAAGACGGGAGTGAGAGAGAAAGAGAGGGAAAGACGAGCCAAGGTGTGGTTTAAACGCGAAACAATGATAGTTGAAGGCGAGGTTGCTTAGAATGCACGGGGGCGCGCGCGTATGGGGATATCGATTCTCAACATGGACGCTTTTGAGAGGCCGGCCTACGCTATACGGTAGACTTTAATCACTACTGCTATTGAATTGGAATAGTAGAATAGCTGATTTGTGGAGAGGTTCGCTTCTTTTTTCCGAAAGGGGTTATAATGCTCGTTATAATTTCAGCACAGTAACACTGCATAATTAGCACTTTTTAAGCAGAGAAGCACATTTAAAATTATTAAAATAGACATCATTTACTTCGATAATAATGCATAAGTACAAGCTCCATTCAATAAGTACTTTAATGAATATACATCATTAATGCTAAATGCTAAATTATCATCGAGTAAGATTATTGACCAGATATTAATCACGATCGGTTGTTATAATCTTTTCCTTTTTTTTTCTTTTTTTTGTATCAATTATTACATATGCTAGAAGACTTCTATAAGAATTCGTGAAATTTAAGTGTATAGTAATCAATTATATAACAGAATTTATATGTCTTACGTAAATTCTCGATGAAGCCGAGAAATATCTTAATTATTTAACTCTATTTTCATTTGTTATTATCATTATCGTTGAGAATCATATTAAAAATAAAACATTATATGTGTGTGTGTGTGCGCGCGCGTGTGTGTATGTGTGTGTGTGTGTGTGTGCGTGCGTGCGTGTGCATACATTGCATTGTTAACTTACATTTTTATTTAATTTATAACTTATTAGTTAATAAAATATTTTACATCTAACTTACGAAAATTCTTTTGTAAATAAAGTGTAGTATTAATTAATAGTATGATAATAAATTAAAATATTATTGTAAAATTAAATTTACTTATGCCAACTTTTATATTTAGTTACAAAATTTTTTAATCTACAATTCTATAATTTATATTACTTATTTAAAAAAATTAATTGATTTGGCTATTTGATATAGTGGTAAATTTTGTTTTACGTACATGCATCCATATAATATGTAAATTGAAAATGAAATTTTTTAATTAACCTTGGTAACACACTTTTATATGATTATAAAAATGTAACCATTTTTCTTTATATAGTTGATAAATCTTTATAGATACATTTGGTGCTGTTAACTCATTTAGCGCTAATTAACTTTCATATTATGCTTCAAACTTAAATATATTACTTTCTTCTACTGTTTTATTCAATTGTTATTATTTTTATTTTTTTAATACTCGTCTTTAATAAACTTTCATATAAGATTTCACAGTTAGATACATATTAATATCGCTACAATCTCTAAATTATCAAAATTTATTTATTGCACCTTACTAAACAGCAATGCTTATTATATAATTATTAATATTTTACAAAACATTATAATTATATATTACAATTAATGATAAATAACTTAATCAATGTAATTTAATTTAATTGATATAATATAATTTCAGTAATATAATAATATTAAATTAATATAAGATATATGAAAATAAGAATATCTGTAAAACCAGAGCGACCTTCATTTTAGTCATCATTTTACTTAATATTTTATTTAATAATTAAATACAACTGTACAACAAATATTAGAAGATCAATAATCAATTATTTAATTTTATTGAATAAATATTGAATTATATATTAATGTATAATTAATTAACATATAATTAATTATACATCATTAATTTTAAAATAGAAATTTATCACATTCCTCTAAGATTTATAACTTAAAAAAATCTGAATACTGATTATATATAGAAAAATATTTATTGGCCTTTTATTTAGAATACAATTAAATACTTTAACAATTACTTTGAATATTCTAGATTTTCTAATACTGCATTTTCATAATAGTACAAAATGTTACTTCCTATTTATCAAAGCAATTACCAGGGAGTATTCAATGTAATTTAAAATTTTTTTTTATAAAATATATGTTTTCTTCAACATGATACAATTATGTAGCATGACATAATTAATTGGGTAATAAATCGCTAAATGAACATTTTTTTAATGAATTTATTAGAGGTATTTAGATCTAAATATTATAAATTGAAAAAAATTTTATAAATAAAAACATACGTTTATTGTTGCTGAAAAATATACTATAAAAAAAAAGTAATAAGAGAAAGTGTAGGTTAAACACTTTACTCTAAGCAATAATGAAAATATAATGTAAGACTATTTGATGTTGACTGAGAAGTACAAATTCTGACAACAATTTCATTGAAATACTATGTTTATCTTACATTTACAATTTCACAATTTTATGAAATTAATAATTAACTAAAAAAATTTCAATAAAAGGTGATAAGATTTTATTCATTTAAGAGCAAGTAAATGTAGGTTATGTACTTTTTACCTTTGAGGTTAGAGTATATAATGAATTTTAAAGAAAAACACGGTGACTGATTGCATCATATAATTGAATCTATAATACATACGCTTAGTAACTTTTATCTGCAATCAAATTAAATCATATAAGTTTTGCAACTCACTTTATTTTTAAAACACCGATAACCTATATAAGTGCCGGTAAAAAATTGTGAAACTCCATATTGATTAATACATTTTTGTTGTGCCTTAGTTTAAATAAAAGAGATGTGATAATTACCCAGAAAAGAAAATTGTAATAAAACTAAATTTGGTTCAAATTAAATTTCGCAGTTAGAGGTTTTAATTATATTAGCAAATTTTTTAACTAATGTTAATAGTTTAAAATATGGCATTTACAATTAACAAATTTGGAAGATTATTCCTATATACTCAACATAATCTTATCAAACGTCAAACTTTGTCAAAGGTAAAATAATTGTTTTTATTTTCAAATATTCAGTAAGATATCTTTAAATTGATTTCTTTCATATTAAAAGATATATCTGAAATAATAATCAATATTTGAAAATTCTTTCTAGATTTTTGTTGGAAACTTTTCCATTAAATCTGACATTCCAGAAATTGAAAATGATAAAGAGAAGCACCCAGCTCCAATAGGAGATGGAAAGATTTTTAAATCTGCTGATGAAGTAATATCTGATATTTATAATGGCGCAAAAATTTTAGTGGGAGGTTTTGGTCTTTGTGGAATTCCTGAAAATCTTATTGATGCTTTATTAAAACGAAAAACTAAGGATTTAATTATTGTTTCAAATAATGCAGGAATAGATGATTTTGGTTTAGGTAAATTACTTAAAGAAAAACAAATTAAAAGAATCATTGCATCATATGTTGGAGAGAATGCAGAATTTGAAAAACAATATCTAAGTGGACAACTAGAAGTTGAACTAACTCCTCAAGGAACATTGGCAGAACGTATAAGAGCTGGTGGTGCTGGTATCCCTGCATTTTATACACCTACCGGTAAAGTAAATCAAAAATTATTTTATTACTATATTAACTATTCTAAAACCAATAAATGTAATTTATGTATATGCATATGTATACACTATTTATTACTTTTTCTAACTGTTGATAAGAAATAAATACCTGTTATAATTAATAATTATTTCAACAAAATATATTCTTTTTCTATTAATCGAGATAATGAAATTAATATTATTCAATATTGTAGGAAGTTCTCTTATATTTATTTTCACTTAATTATTGTTAATTGATATTAAAATTCATTGATTATATATATATATATATATATATTGTTACTTATTATAATTGATGAATATTTAAATTTCAAATATAGCATGTGGTACTATTATTCAAGAGGGTAATGTTGCTATCAAATATAATGAGGATGGAAAAGTAGAAATATCTGGTGAACCAAAACCAGTCCATCAATTTCATGGCCGAGACTATGTATTAGAAAGTGCAATAAATGGAGATTTTGCCTTGATTAAAGCTTGGAAGGCAGATGCTGCTGGAAATTTAGTATTTAGAAAATCATCTAGAAATTTCAATCCTACTATGTGTAAAGCTGCGAAGATATCAATTGCAGAAGTTGAAGAAATAGTCCCAGTAGGTCAAATAGACCCTGATCATATACACTTACCTGGAATATATGTTGACAGGATTATTAAAGGACAATGTTATACAAAACGAATAGAGGTATGTTTTATAAATAGATACAACTTAAGCTCAGATTTGTAATATTAAAAAAAGTTTGTAAAATTATCATTATAATTGATTGATTTACAAATATTAATTTTTAATAATATTTTAGTATATAATTTGAGAAATTTAATTGTATTTATTAAATATAAAAAATTTGTTTAATCAATAATTGTGTTTTAATAAGATAAATTAACACGTTATGCTTATGTTTGAAAAAACATGAATTATTTCAAAATATTTATACAAAATTTTATAAAAAAAATTTAAGATTAATATAAAATAGAACATTTTTTAAGAAACAATCAACGAAACAATCAGTAAAACCAGCTAGGGTTACTCCTGCAAGTAAAGCAAGACATCGGATAATTAAAAGAGCAGCTCTTGAATTTAAAAATGGAATGTATGGTGTGTTATATTTTTTAGCTAATTAGATATTTACTACTATTGATAATAAAAGTAATATATTTAAAAATATGTTGATTTTTATTTTTAGTTAATTTAGGAATTGGTATGCCAATGTTAACTAGTAACTATATTCCCAAAGAATTGAATGTAATGTTACAATCTGAAAATGGTCTTTTGGGACTTGGACCATATCCTGATGAAGAGGAAGTAGATGCAGATCTCATTAATGCTGGAAAGGAAACAGTTACTGTTGTACCAGGTGCTTCATTTTTCAGTAGTGATGAAAGTTTTGCTATGATAAGAGGGTAATTGAATAATCTATAAAACTATAGAATTAATTATATTTTTGTTTACTTTAGATTTGTAAATTTTACAAAAAAATTAATTTTCTATTTTAGTGGACATATTGATTTAACGATTCTGGGTGCATTGCAAGTTTCACAAAAAGGAGATTTGGCTAATTGGATAATTCCTAAAACATTAGTTAAAGGAATGGGTGGTGCTATGGATTTAGTATCAGCTGCAAAAACGAAAGTTGTTGTTACAATGGAACATGTGTCACGAGATGGTAGTCCAAAAATTTTATCCGAATGTAATTTACCTTTAACAGGTACATTTATATCACATTTTCTTTAATTTTCAATAATAATTTAACGTACTTAATAATTAATTGACTTTTTTTATATTACAGGCTTACAATGTGTCGATTTGATTATTACAGATTTAGCAGTTTTTGAAGTTATAAAAGGTCATGGACTTAAATTAATAGAAATGGCACCAAATGTAGATATCAGTGAAATAGTAAGTACAACTGGATGTGAATTCTCCGTTGCCGATGATCTTAAAGAAATGGGTCAAATTAACGATAAAGAAAAACAGTAATTTCGAAAATTTACTTCATTAACATTACCTTTTTACTGTTAAAGGGTATGTTGTAAAATGAAATGTACATATACAATGTAAACATATGCATAAAAATTGTAAAATAAATGCAGAGCATGACTTTTATACATTCGTATATGTTTAAACATATATAATTTACATATATATTTTATTATTTTGTAAACTTAAATCAAATTCTTTATTATTGTATTTTATTCAAACATTAAATTATATTGAAAGATATTTTTAAAATATAATTATTTAAAAATATATTTTTAATTTGTGTGAATTTTATTTGTTGAACGTTTGCCTATAATTTTTTACAAACTTAATATTTTTCATAAAATAATTGCAAAATCTAAAAATTTAATTAAAACTTTACTGCGATAACAAGTTGAAACATTAAATGTCGTTAATAATAAGGATCAAATTTATATTTATAATTATAATTAAATAATTTTTCGTCTGAATATTCAAAATATTATAAAGTTTAGTAAGTTCATTATATAATAACAATATTATTATTCTCGAAATTTGGTCTTAACACTAGCAGGCAAAGGTAAAAGGTATAACACACTGTTTAGAATAACAAGACCCACAGAGAACGCTAATGATATCAATAAATTCAACTCCACATTCAATACTTGAGAAATATTCTCTGCTTCTTTAGTAAATCTCTCTCTAAGATAGGTATTACCGTCTTTGTACCTACATAATTCCTGAATACCAGGACATGTAATAGTATCATTATAATTTAAATTCTTAAAATTATCTATTTCTAGTGCTAATTGATTGAGTGCCAAAGATGCGTATCTTACTGGAACTGCTGTTGATACAGATCCTAACCAATCGGGTAGATTCCTAAAAAAAATTCTCTACTTATGTACATATTTACTATGCTATATATACAACATCAGATTATTCAAAATATATAATATTTTTTACATAAATATTGCGTTCACATATAGTATCAAGGCATTAAGAAAATTTCGTCTACCTTAAGCTCCTCATACTTCCGGATGCTGCAGTAAGCATTATAAGAGTGAAGTAAAGGACGATGATAGAAGCACTCATTGGTCTCTTTACAAGCATAAGGGTAGCGACAGTGATCTGCTCCGTAGCGACAAAGGACGCCCAAAGCACACCACTCGCTTTGATCCAAGATACAATATCGAGTTCGAGGATTGGCACTAGGATACCAACGCTCATAATCGTCGATAAAAAGCTCAACGGCAGACTGAGCAAAGTGTAGGATGTTATGAACATTGCACCCCCGTATAAGCCCTCGCGCTTTTCTTGATAATATCGAGCACGAAATCCAGGAACTATTAAAAAATATAGTTAAATAAAGTTTTATAATAATAGATAAAGAGAGTTCTAATTCAAACTCGCAATCTACTGTGCTTTATTTTATCAACAACACAACGATAATTATTAATAGTAATAAGCTTTTTGACTTCCCTTAATGTAATAAACAATGTATATTTATAGTATTTAATAATGAAATTTTTATAGTTATAAATTAAATTTCCTAATAATAGTGTTGAAATAGAATAACCAAAATTCGGGTGGGGGGGATTATTTTGCGAAAAAATTTTTAAGTTAAAATAAAAATTTAATCCTATAAACTATAAAACTTAGTCTGTAAAATAAATTTTTGAATTTCACTTAGTTTTACAAATCTTTTATAGACATTAATTTTTTTTTAATCGTTATAATAAGATAAGATAGTAACTTCCTTTAATTTCATTGAAAACAACTATATTATTACAAGTATATTATTTTCTCAAAAAATTTATTTACAAATTCTGTTATTTTTTAAAAACTTATTTTCTATATTTAAAATTTATATTTATAAGATTATAGGTCAATACTAATTATATTTAGCTTACAATTTTTTAGAAAATTGTCATTGATATTAATAGCTTTTTGTCATTAAAAAATTAGCGTGTGTATTAACGTATATACTAACAAATTTTTTGATGGACAAATAAGACAGATGAATATAACAATAAAAAAAATTTTAATTTTTTATAATAAAATAATTTAATTTATTATTGAAATATTTATCATAGAATTTTAATTATAACATTTATCTGTAATTTCATAAAAAATATTTAACTTACAAAGAAGAGAAGTTATTGCAATTCCAGCAAAGTAAAAAAGTGTGAGAACGTTAAAAATAAGTCCAGTAGTCTGTAAAAATATGGTTGATTGCTGTTCCTTGGAATGAGAATATAAAATACTCAGAAGAGCAAGGATAAATGGCAGCAAAAAAATTCTTGAACCAAAGTGAATCAAACCCGATTTATTGCATGCGAATGTAGCAGCAAGACTTCTCCTAAATAAAGAAAATCTATTAGCATTGAAATACTGTATATTGCCATAAAGTAAAATATAATGTAAAATATCATTTATATCGCCTTAGGTATCTACTCCCAGCGATTAAGCTTTTCTCTATATAAATATAACTATTAAACTACCAACAATATCAAATTATTTACAAAAATATTTATACAAATGTCGTAGGTACTGAATTTTAATACGAGTTCATCAAGTAAGTTACATCTCGATGAAGATGTTTAAAAATGTATTCAAAGTTATTCAACGATTAACGTGTATAACAATTTATATGTAAAATCACTGACAAATAAAGTGCCAATAGCGTCGAGAAGCATCCAGGCTTGATACCACGATTTTGCAGCGACTTGTGAGACATTCCGATGGAAGTTGGGCTAAGGGATAAAGTTGGCGTCTGATTGCCTTTCATTTGATTTGCACCGAGTGTTGACGCAGGTGCTTCCTTCAAAAAAATTCCACCTTCTACTTTAAATTTATCTACAAGAACGGAGATTTGTTGATTTGATTCCAGGAAACGATCTCTTGATCGTCTATCCACCGTCGACAAGCAAACTATAGAAACATCAAATTATTTAATTGCTGGTCAAGTTATTAATTATTAAGCTTCTATTTAAAATAATTTATATTAGACACTTAAATTATACCTTAAGCTATTAAATTATAGTAACATTAAAATTTAATTTAGACAGAAATAAAAAAAATACACCATTCAGTGCTTATTAAAAGCTTTTTATAAAAAAATTAATGTATGGTTAAAACTATAATCTACCATTTACAACGTTAAAATACACAATAGATAAAATTTTCTATATGAAAATATTCATTTTAATAGAGTTATAAAACTAAATATTGAAACCGTTTTTAAAATTGGATTAAATAATCATTATAACAATATAATATAAAATTGTTATAATTGTTATAATAATGTTATAGCGAGTACAGTAAAATATTTCATTGCAATTTACATTTTAATGAAACTGTAAAAATTTATATTGTTTTTTAACTAACCATTGATTAAAATTTTAATATAATATGACATAGCTTGTCGATTTACTGTGAAAATAAAACTTTTACAATATTTTATTATACTTTAACAAACAAAACAAGCAAAAGCTTAAAATTATAAATATTGATTTATCAATATATAGTATGCGTTTGCCGGCTAAAGTTCATTAAAAATATTCCCTTTTCGTAATATTAATTCATAATATTAAAAAATAAATATTTTCAACTTACGATAATACATGAGCGGATTCTCAAGCTCGGGGCAAGGAAACCCAACGTAGGTGAAATAGTCGAGCATACTTCTAGTAGGGCCGGAATAAACAACCGCCCCCAGACACAGCAAAGTAACCCTTGCGACAAAGGGCAACACGTCAGATCTGGGTGTTTCCATCGTCAGTATAACAATGGAACCTCTTCTATTCAGCCAAAGAAAATATTTAAATTTAATTTCAATCCTTACTTACTTAATTAACTATAATAGCGTTCAAAAAAAAAATAATAATAATAATAATAAATAAATAAAAATTGAAGAAATTCACTTGAAAATGTCATGATTATTCAATAATTTCATATATTCATATACCACAATATTTTTCCAAATTAATGCTAAAAAAATTAATATTGATAATAGAAATATTAAATTTCTTATAAATTATAATTTATTTCATTATTCCTGATATACTTCATAATAAATTCAACTCTTATAATTTTAATTTTCTTCTAAATTAAGTTTAATAAATTTTAACGAATTTGAAAGGGCGTATTTCTTTTATCTCTAATAACATTATATACATAATATATAATCAACTAGTAGTATCTGTATATGCATATGTATATGTATATCTAGTAATATACATGTATATATAGTAATAGTATAAATATTGTTAATATGCTTTTTGATAATTTAAGAATATTGAAAAATAATTTTATAATTATTTATATAGAAAATCGGTATTTTAATAATATTTAATAATATTCATAAGAAAGTTATGTCGGTGCAATAAAAATGAAATAAATCATCTTACGGTACGTTCAAAAATTTGTATTAAGCCTTTTTTTTAACTTTAAAACATTCGATTAAAAGATTTTATTTAACAATACATAAACGAAATCTAATATGTAAAGCATAAAGCAGGTATTTTTATTGAAAATTCTAATTTAATATAAATTAAGTATTAAATTTAAACTCAATTATCATGATATATTTGCATATATTAGGATATCAAATATTTCGCTAAATTACATTTTGGCATTGAAGTAGATTCCTTCATTTATTGAATATTTTAACATTTTATTTATTAATAATATTTCCTAAAGTAGAGAGTAATTGTTTGAGAGGCTTAAATAAGATTAAATAATCGATCGTCACCTTGTGGCATAAGACCAAAGCATGGATACAATGAGGTAGGTGTTGAGTGGGTCCGTATCCCAGGTGGGCTCATCCAACAGAAGGAGCAATGGCTCCTTGGCCAACTGCACGCCAAGCATAAGCCGTCTATATTCAGGCTTGGTAAGGTCGGCGACGGGCCGATTGGCTACCTGCGAAAGCGCGAGGTCGGCTAAAGTCTGACGCACCCGGGCTTCTCGGCCGTCGAGATTCGCCAGCCAGGTCGCATATGTCAGATTTTGGCGAACAGTGAGGCTTGGCAAAAGATAACACCGATGCGAAACGTAAGCCCCATGTCGCCGGAACAGTTCCTCCGTAAGCAGACTACCATTCAAACTTATGCGACCACGTGTCTCTCCTATCGCTGTTCGACCAGCTGCCGACCATTCGTTTTACAATTAGTAAGTAATCATTTGCGAACCAGTGTTTTATTCGGGTCAATTTCTCTATATTTTGTGCCATTAAAAAGAAGAAGAAAAAGGAAGTGCCTATTCGACTTCTCATCCGGGAATGTAACGTTTTAAAGAAAGAAGGACGGTCTTCGTGATTAATTCGTGCAGATAAAAACCGTTTTATATAAGGCTTCGCTTATAAATATTGTTTAGCATCTTATTAAACCATTATAGTGGATTTAAAAGTAGTGGATGTTAAATCGATTAGTTCGCTTTCTCTTCGAAGTTCGTCAATCGGCAGATTTTTCACAATTTATCGACATTTTAAAATACTTCGATACACATAATATATCTAAGGTATTAAATACTTTCTTTGATGTAACAAGATATTATTTTATAATATTATTCGCAAGTAGGAGATAATTTTAATCAGAATATTTATACTTTAGCATAAGCACATTGACAAATTAAGTTGAATAATAGTATCGTTATGTTTCAAAATCAACTTGGATAGATGGTGTAGGCAAAAATCATGGCGAAAGTATGAATTTATGACAAGAAAGAAAGCTTACTCACCGATAACATCGAGAAGAGCTCGTTTACCAGAACCCTTAGAGCCAAGGATGGCAAGCACCTCGCCTCCGAAAACCCGAGCAGAAACATCCCTAAGAACGGCGGTCGGTTCAGAGCGGGTGGTAACGCAGCCGCAGTTCGTACTCTCGGAAGCTGGGACTGAGGTTGAATGATAGACGCTGGAGACGTCGAGCACGTTATCGGGTATCGGGGTCATTGTCGTTCTAATGGCAATAATCACCGCCCAACGACACACTCTCGTGAGAAGATCCTCGTAGGCATGGACACCACTCGGTATTTCCTTTAACCGTCTGAATACATTTGGTATCCACGCATCTACGCCTAAGTTCCAAGTAGTTTACTCGGGAACTCGTCGATGTACCCCGGCTTATCCTAAATAATGTTCAAATTACTCCTTTTATTCCTGCGGATTCCATATTTTCTTCTCTTCGGGGAATAGATGCTTAAAGTCATTATTATTATTAAAATCGGTTTTATTGTTAAGTCTTGAAGAATGCTGAATTCTTGAGTATCGATGAATTAATGATTAATATTACTATAAACAACGTCCTTGCCTCAGCTTGTTTAATAAATATTTATTAGGCGAAATAACTGAACAACACAAAATTTGGTCACCCAACACCATTCGAAATATTTTTTAAAATACCAAGTGATTTTCAATAATATTACTAAATTTTACTTTTCACTATAACTGAAGGCACTTAATCAAATTAACAAGATTCAAGAGGTAATTTTTAAAAATCTAAAATAAACTAATAAAATAAAAAATATATTTAATAATTTGTAATTTAATTTTTTTAACTCGTTTTTATATGTGTGATCGTAAATTATTGCGAGGAGGTGAGAAGCTAAGAAATTAAAAGGAGCTTCATTTTTAGTGTTATTTCTCATGTGAAAATAATTATTAAAGAAAATTCATGACTATCAAGGTGTAAATGCTATCATTTTAAACTAATATTATTTCATATTTTTATTCGAATTTTGTTTAATTGTTTATTAACCATTGTAATATAAAAAAAATCCATTTGAAAATAGCTATGTTAGTAATTCCAGTAAACTCTTTTTATTACTTTCTTGCACTATGAAAATTTTATGGCTAAACTAAGAATTTATTTTTCTCCTTTCATATCATTACGATCATTATAGTAATTTTAAAATATAATTGAAAAATTACACGAGTAATTGAATTATTGCAGATATTGAACTTAAATTAAATGAATTATCCATAAGAACATATTAAACTGTTTTTTAATAAAAATACAATAAATGAAATAGTCTGATCTGGGAAAAGTAATTCAAAAATACTAAATATTTAACTCGAATATTGAAATTGTAAACTTTTATGAAGACTTTTCAAGTTATCAAATTACAATAAATATTTTATATTTATTCGATACATGATATAATACATTAAAAATATTTAACATTATGAAAATTATCGATAATATATTTCATAATTGATTTATAACAGATACAAGAAACTTTTTTTAAAATAATATAATTTGTAAATTCATATCTAAATACAAAAACAACAAGAACTTACGATATAAACACTTCTATTACTAATTTAGTTACTAATTATTTTTATTATTTCTCATTTAATGAAATAAAAATTGATTTAAAATGAAAATAAAAATATATGTCCGATATATATTTTATATATTTTTTATATATTATATATATTATATATATTTTATATATATTATATGTATTTTATTAATTTTTGTTTTCATAATTTTCTAATTTTTTTTCCATATAATATATTAATATATTAAATATTCAAGAATTATTATCAAAGTATTGATAACAATTTTCTATCGTAAATACGTTTTTCGAATGAATAAATAAAAAGAAAAATTTTTTTAAAAATATTATTTATGTCTGTAATTCAAGTTTTTGTCAACAGTGCAAATACACAAATTGAATTTTTTACATAAAAATATAGTTTATGATCTAAACGTTTTTTATTTTTTTAGAAAACAGCTTTATCCTTACTATTAAAGGTAAGAGTTACTTGAAAATGCATCTATAAGCATAAATGTTCAGCATAAATATCTTTTACATTGAGGAAGTTCAATAAGTCTCGAATATATAAGAAGAAAGAAAAATCGTTTGTTATTCTTTTTCTCTAAATAGGATTCTTAATTCTTCACGGAAATCTACGTCATTATGTTTTATTATACTTCCTCTTTGAATTCCAAATCACTTGAGTAAATATATTTAAAATTTGACACGATTATTTTTGTATGGATTAATAATGCTTGCATCTCTAGATAATTTCCAGCAAATTTTAAAATACGTACATGAAAGACCTTAGACAAGAATTTATATATTCATTATCAATATTAAATGTCCTTAATAACTGTATAATAAATTCATTTATACGATTAAAAATAATATTATCATATATATGATCTATAAAATGACTATACCATATTATAAAAGTAATTTTTTTAATTTGCTAAATTCCAAAATTATTATCCTGATGTATTTATAAATAAATTCATTTTCATAGTTTTTTTCTTTTTTTCTTTTGTTTTAAGTCCTTACGCATATATGTAAGAATACAACATTAAAATTCGTTGCATAATTTCTAAATATTTCTCTAAATTTTTATACAGAATAAGTTTTAACATCGTGAAAAATAACCAACAAATTTTCTGCAATTAACCCAAACAATATTTAAATGTTTGTTGTCAATTTCGAAAATTTCTTCGGACTCAAAATATTTCAGCTAAAATAGTTCTCTCCAAATACAATAGACTCTCCAATTACAATGTGTAAATGTTTCACGATTGTTAAATATTAGATATTACGATAGAGTACATCCGATGATGAAAAAAAAGAGAAAAAAAAGTGAAGAATATAGCAGTTACATGGTCTCTTGTAGACTATATTGACTCTTATTCTAGTAGAAAAACGTTACTATCGCAGAAAAGACTATTATATCGAGGATAATAGTAATTCATTTTCAACCTCAAAGGTGCGGGTGTCAAGCGAATTAGTTGCCGTAACCGTGTCAAGGTGAAAAGCTTCCGCAGACAGGTGCAGTGTAGAGCAGGAAATTATAACCATGGGGAGCTAAAATACGTCGGGGATAGTAAATTTGAAAATCTTTCAAGATAAAAATAATATATAAGCGAGAAATTCGGATAAAGACTCGATCGCCCCTTCAATTGCGCGGCAAAAATCGAGCGCGCGATATTAGGTACGCGCCATCAACACACCTGTACGTACATAAATGTAACTTACCTACGGGAAGAGAAGAGGCACCTTGGGCGGCGTTGAAGACACTACGATCAAGGAAATGAGCGAGAGGAGCGTCGGACGCTCGAGCCGCGAGGTGAACGTTCTGCCGCCGAAGGTAGTCGGAGCTCTCAACGGAAGCGCGCCCGGGAGGTGGAAGAGAGAGATCATGAGGATGCAGGGGGAGGGTCAGAGGGAAAGATTCCGTGGTGAGAGGTAGAGGCAAGGAGGCTAGCGGGCCTTAGGTATGCCGCGCGGGCCCCGACCCCCGAGACGCCGAGAGCTCCGAGAGGGACTGGAGTCAGAAACTCTGCAGAGCCGAGGGGCCCGAACGGCAGTCGCGCGCTACTCTCTTGTCACGGGTCACGGCCACGACGTGGCTCTTCGCAACCCCAAGCAAACACCTCCTGAGATAGAAAACGGCTGACAATCGCTGCTTAGAGGTTAGACTCAAGATAGAATCGAGTCCATGGATAAGAGGGCTTTTTATATTTTGGCAATAAGCGAAGGATGTTTCGGCGGCGCATAAGCATCGATAACGTGCATTGGCTGTTTCGGCGCTACTCAGGTAAGACCGCTGGCTTTCTCACCTCTTCCCAAGCTGTATTTTGCCTGGTCTTATTATGGTATACCGAGCGCCGAATGACAATGTCAAGTTTATGAATATCATGAGAGAGAGAGAGAGAGAGAGAGAGAGAGAGAGAGAGTCGAACGACTTGTGCATCGTATACGCTAACGCGATCAGGTTAGAAAGAGACTTGTGTTTGTGTGTGTGTGCGTGTGTGTGTGCGTGTGTGTGTGAGAGAGAGAGAGAGAGAGTGAGTGAGTGAGCGAGAAAAATAGCACTGAATTTTATCGTCGTAGCTCGTTTGCTAGGGAATGCTTACGGTTCATTTCTGTACAGCCTGATACTCCGCGGATGGCGTTAAACGGGAAAAAAAACTCATTGGAGGAATCGTGTGAGTGTAGCTTCTGAAGCTGCACGGTTTTTGAACACCGTTTATTTGTAAATTCCAGCGGGAATGGGTATAGAACCAAGATCCCGCGTAGGAACGTGAAACCGTTCCCACTCGCCTTTTACGAAGCTGTGCGATTTTTGCGCAAAACACCGAATGACGTGCTGAATTGTACAAAACTTCCTTATGCAAAGTCCATTATGCGAAGAAATACCGGATCACTTCGTTGCTGCTGAAGCTGAGCTAATTAGTTTACATTACAGATTGTAATCGAGTCATGTGGGAAAAGAAACGCCAAAGCAATAGCGCGAATTAAAATTGAATAGATTTAAAATTGAAAATGAATATTACTAACTTTCTCTACTTAACCATTTTTCATTTTAATTTGAGGAGTCACTTATGAACTTGGAAAAAATCGAAAAATTATCTTGCATTTGAATTATCATTATTTGTACATTTTTAAATGTCAAATCTAGATTTGAGCAAACACATAATTTATCTTTGCATAATACAGCCATTTAAAACCTAAATATTTTAATTATTTTCAATATATTATTTTCTCTACTTTCCTTTACATGGTAATTACGTTAAAGTATGCCTCTAGATCAATTACCATAAAAGTCTGGCGTAAATTATTTTCCAGTTTTTCCATGAATACACTTTGTTGAAATACTTGAAATTCAAATTCACCAACATGCTGAACGACTTTTAAGTAAAAGCACTTCTTCTTTGGAACGTGAATACAAATTTTCACTTAGAATTATGACAAATATTAAAATACGCTTATATCCATCGTATATTAATGTATTTATAAGCACGATCAGCACTATATAAATTATATATATTTGCATAGATTTTTCTCTTTATATTACTAGCATTTTTTTTTTTTTTTTTTTTTTTTTTTTTTTTTAAATGATATTTATTTTAATAAGACTTCTTCTCCTTCAAGTAATTATTTCTCAAGCTTTCTTGTCGACGTCAGTCTATACAGCCCGTGTGACGAATGTGAAATTCGCACGAGAATAAATTGCAGATGCAGGTGCGATCGATATGATTCATACACGTTACTATATACGATATTACAATGATAAATTTACCTGCGCATCCACATTCAAAAAATCTACATTTTCATTGGATGTGGAAAGTTGACAGGTGCTTAATTATACATATTTATAATTAATTTTCACATAAATTTATTTATATTTAATATTATTAGAAGTATTAAAAATACTTACTTTGTACATTACATTTTAAATTATCGGGAACGTCATACTTTCAATGAATAATAGTAAAAATCTAAATTCTGAAATTTTAATTTCTAGATTTAAATTTAATTATGTACAATCATTTTTTATGTGCACAAAATAAAACAAATACAAATGAAAAATAATGCAAGACATTAATTATAGATTATATATTCATAATTTTTACTGCACATGAATAGATTATAATTATTAAATAAAAACAAAATATATTGAATTTAATAATGAACTGTAACATAAATGAAAATATAATAATTGGGTATTGACAATGGCCTAAGAGTTTACTAATTAAAAATTAAATAGAAATATAGTGTTATTAAAATACTTAATATCATATCGAACAAATAATTAAATTTTAATAATTAAATATATAAAAAAATTTTTTTTAAACTATGTTTTCAATAATCTGAATACTATTTTTGAATCACTCTTATGATACATAAAAATGTAGTGCGATAAAATAATTATTTATAAAATTGGAAATTTTTTAACTTTAAATTCAATTACTTCACCAAATATTGATTATTTACAATGCTAAATACATTAATATTTAATATGAAATATTTAGAAAAAAAAATTTAACTACTGTTTTCAATGGACTTGAATTTCATTTAAATTATATATTAATATGTAAAGAAATGGTACAAGAGTAAAAAATCGAATGTGTTAAAAAGTATTTTTTAAATTTAACTATAAATTCTAAAGCAAATTTATATATATATATATATTTACATTTTTATTCTAGAAAAATTGTTTTTTAAATTGTTTTTGATATTCTCTTCTGTGAATATTTTGTTCCAGATTAAAAAGAAAGTGATTGAATAAAACATTTGTGTTTCAGTTGAAAACAAAAGTTCATTTATACGGCTCATGAATTTTATGTAACTCATGAATTTTTTATGAAAGAAAATATACGACTACTTTAATATGTTTTTGTTTTATTAAATAATAATGCATATTTCACAGATTCTCAGTTTTATCCAAATTGATCTGTGGTTTTGTTTGGTAATTATGTTAAGGATATGAAACCATTATGAAATCTAATCATTGCTAAAATGTTTTGTCTTCATGAAATTCATCTATACGTGAAACTTTATTCAATTAAAATAATTATTTTCGAAACAAATTTTCAATACTATTTTTTAATTTTGTAAAATTATACTAAAAAGGAGTTTGTTCGTTTTAATTATAATAAAAAAAGCAAAGAAACCCCTTAATTGTTTTCATTCGCATAAAGAAATTGAAACAAAACAATATAAATTAAAAGATATTATATTTTAATAAATTTTTAATTGAGAAAATACAATAAAGCTTATAATTAACAACTACGTACTTCTATTAAATTTTATATTATTGATATACTATTTTATAATATTAATTTGAAAAAAAAAATGATATTCTTCGTGAAATGAGAACGCTTATTAATATAGAATTATCTTTCGGTATACGTTAAGGAATACATCGAAGACATAAACGCTATAAATATAAATGAAGGTTTAAAGTGATATCAATGCTATTAAAAAGATACTGTAAAGAGACAAAAAAAAAGGCAAAAGAAAAACGGTAAAAAAATACAAAATTTATTTCAGCTTAAAATTGAAGGCGTGGGTGATGACGTAGGAAGCCGGGTATCGTACAATTTATGGAAATCGTCGTATCATGACGAGAAAGGATTTTATCGCGAGCGAGCTATAATATTAGGAGAATAAAATAAAGTTGGAGATGGGCAGGATATTGAGCCATATGTTTTTTAATTTCAGGTCAGTAGGCCGAGTGTCAGCGCCATAATAAACCACGAAGACCCGAACGAAAGAAGATAAGAATGCATCATAGCCGCTTCTGATCAAGTGGTTGTTGAACGCGCCCCGGCCACCTTAAACAACATGGGCTCGGAGGCTTGGGAACTCGAACGAAGGTATTCGGTGCCCGGGGCCCTCGACACACGGGGCCTCGAAGTGCCCGGTGCACCTGCCAGCGAGGACCTGCATGCTTGGTCCATTTACAGGTGTTTTAACGGCCCCATTTTCGAATGATCTTAAGCTTATTCCATAACCCCGTCCACACGACCTCAACAACGACCTCCATATAACTCTATTCGTTTTCTCACAAGCCGTCAACCAATCAACTATAATATCAAGATTGGGATTTCATTAAATTTCTAAACACAATCTACTAATGTTATTATAATTCAATTTTTTCGACGTGTTATGATTTAAAGATGCTTTTCCATTTCCATGTTGAAGTTTATGGTATCAATAATAAAACAGTATATAAGTAACATATACATAGCAATCCTTAGGCTTAATGCATATTTTTAAGATTTTACGTATTATATAACTACATTGAATTTGAAATACGAAATTTAATAGAATCATTTTATATAGAATCCTGAAAAATGTATTTCAAGATTAAATTATAAATTGAACAATCAATAATTCCACTTTATTTCTATATCACAACAGATTTCTAATTCACAGTATTTTTCTCGTTAATTAAAATAAAACTTTCTCTGCCCTTTATTACGTATATACTGAAAAATTGAGGTA